CAGCAGGAACGGCCTGTCAGTGACAAGAGGAGAACCATGATGACCTTTCAAGAACCTGAGATGGTCTGGAGAAGGAAACACTTTCTCCAGCAGAGGGCGCCACTCTGAGCAACAGTTTAACACATAAAACTGACAACAACAGTTCACACCTCCTCTGATGGAGCCTCCTCCACGGGAAGCTCTTCTTCTACAACAGCTGGCTGCTCCTGCTCCTCCTCCTGCTGCTGCTGCTCCTCCTCCTGCTGCTCCTCCTCCTGTTGCTGCTCTTCCTCTTCCTGCTGCTGCTCCTCCTCCAGCACCTCCTCTTCCTGCTCCTCCTCCAGCACCTCTGGATCTTCCTCAATCACCTGTAGACAAACAGAACAGGCTCAGGTCAAAGGTCAAAGGTCTACACGCAGCCAGGTCAGAGTTGTTGAGGGATTGTGAGGGACTGTGAAGCTCTGCACCAACCTCTGGAGTCTCCACCACCTCCTCCTCCTCCTCCACCTCCTCAGGTTCAGCTTCAGGTTCAGGTTCTGGGACCAGAGAGTGACAGACGTTAGAACGGTGTCTGGAGCGCCACCAGAAAGTGGGCGGAGTCTCAGTTACCTGGAGGCGGAGCAGAGACGTCTTCTGCCACAGCGGCTTCAATCACAGGCTCGGGGTCCGGCTCCACCACGGCTGGGGGTCAAAGGTCAAAGGCACAGAAAATGTTACAGCAAAGTTTCCAGTGGTCCAGCAGCAGGGTCATGACCTTTGGTACCCTCACCCCCACATGTCTGTCTGTGTGTGTGTGTGTGTGTGCTAACCCCCCCTCACCCTCTGGTGTTGGCTCCGCCTCCTGCTCCTCCTCAGCCTCCTGGTTCTCCTCCGTCGGTGCAGCCTCTTCTCCTGCACGCTGAGACTCGACCACGCCCATTTTCTCTTTCAGTCCTACAGGGGGCGGTGCACACAACATTTATACTGCAGTACCACACAGTACCACTGCGTGTACCATGAACCTTCAGATACATGGAGGCACCAGTGTGTACAGCCCCCTACAGGGCATTTACAGTAAATGCATGCTAACATCAACAACTTCCTGAATCAACCAGATACTGTGAAGTACTCTGTATGGAGTACTACTGTGAAGTACTCCGTATGGAGTACTACTGTGAAGTACTCTGCATGGAGTACTACTGTGAAGTACTCTGCATGGAGTACTACTGTGAAGTACTCTGTATGGAGTACTACTGTGAAGTACTCCGTATGGAGTACTACTGTGAAGTACTCTGCATGGAGTACTACTGTGAAGTACTCCTGATGGAGTACTAGTGTGAAGTACTCTGTATGGAGTACTACTGTGAAGTACTCCATGTGGAGAACACATTTAAACTGCGGCTGCACCTGGTCCCTGTGTGGACAAGAAAAGGGGGGAGGAAGGGGAGAGGGGTGAGGACAGATCCTAACAGCAGGGTCATCAAAGGTCAAGGATGAAGAGCTTATGACCTTTGACCTCAGTGAAAACCACATGTTAGCATCACAGCTAAAGTGTTGAAAAAATAAGAAACAGAACGAGAGGAAATCATCAATCCATTTTATTGACGCCTTGAACCTGGAAATACCCACAATTCCACAGACATTAACGGAGGAGAACTCGACTCCACAGCCCAGTAGTGAAGACGGGAGACGGAACCACGTCTTCACCCCCCCCCCTTCCCTTCCCCCCCACCAGGAGGAGTTTAATTTGTCTCAGTTCTGACCTGGATCTAAAACACGTCACAAACCTTGGACTGTGACTAGTTTTTCACTTTCCTTACTTTACATTTCTTTCTTCTATCTTTGTCCTCCTCCTGCTGCACCTCCTTTCTCTCCACATCAATCTTCTCCCCTTCCCTCCCACGCTCCTGCTCCTTCGGCCCGTCCTGTTCTTCCTCCTCCTCCTCCTCCCCCTCCCCCCCCCTCCCCCCCGCCGGCCCCCCCCCCCTCCCCCCTCCCCCGCGACTCCAGCTCCTCCTCCTCCTCATTCTCCTCTTTGGCCAGCAGATGGCGCACTTCAGCCAGGGCCATCTTGGCCAGCTTCCTGGCCTGGACTCGTTGGTGGATGAGGGTCAGCTGCTGCCTGAGGGCCTCACGGAGCGTCCAGCCCACGTCCTTGTGAGGAGTGGTTTCTGGGGCGGACGATCAACGACACGTTTGGTTTGGTCAGCGGTTAGAGCCTGAAGACCAAGCTGCCGTGTTAGTGGCCACGCCCAGACCGGGTCCATGCCACGACCCGGGTCTCCACACGGTCCAGACCGGGTCCATGCCACGACCCGGGTCTCCACACGGTCCAGACCGGGTCTCACACCAGTTAGGAGGCAAAACTACAAACGTCAGAGATGTTTGTTATGGCGTGACGGAGGGTGAGGGTGGGTGGGTGAG